GTGAGAGTGCCAGAAGCAGACATAACATTCCCTTTAACTGAAATAACGCGTGAGTGCCAGAAGCAGACATAACATTCCCTTTAACTGAAGTAACGTGAGAGTGCCAGAAGCAGTAATAACATTCCCTTTAACTGAAGTAACGCGAGAGTGCCAGAAGCAGTAATAACGTTTCTTATAACTGAAGTAACGTGAGAGTGCCAGAAGCAGGTACAGTTGTTTGTAATGACAGAAGTAACGTGAGAGTATCAGAAGCTTATATGGTTGTTTTTCAAAGCGGAAGTAACAAGAAAGTACCAAAGAGCAGCTAAGATAATTTTCTATACCAGATATAACATGGCAGTGATAGAAGCACAGATGGCTGTTTATCATAAAGAAAGCTTCGTGAAAAGTCTTTTTATCCATAACAGGATTAACATTTGAGTTCAGTAGGTAGACATGAGTACTTGCAATAATGGAAGTGATGACATGAAAGTGTCAGAAGCATACATGTTATTTGTCTAAACGGAAGTGACAAGATAGTGCCAGTAGGAGACACATTTTTCATAATGAAAGCGCAAAGAAGTTACAGTCGTGATTAATTCCTTGTGATGTAAAACAACATGTAATAGCAGAAGTAACAAGAGAGCACACATATTGTAACAATTTATTGAATCAAATGAATGTGTAACTGGATAATTCCCTACACTAGTAGTTTAACATAAACAATGGTGGGTGAACGCCTCTCGAAACCCATTGTCTGCGTATTTAGAGAATTTACCTGTATAACTCTAACTGAATCCTTGGTTCAATATTTTGCCGTTGATTCTCCAATAGAATGAGATTGCAGAAGAAATCGGGAATTCATGCAAGTTTTTAAGATGATTAAGCACACAATAAAATGTATTTGAGAAATAATATAAACGGTCATAAAAACAAGAATTAAAGGTCATAGAACCAATCAGATCTTGAAGGTTTTGTTTATCAATAACCATATCTTGCTAGTAAAAACGGTGTTGACGTTAAGAGACCTGAAAACATACATGTTCACTAAAGTTCCTTACCTTGATTTTTAATAAGCGAAATAATATGAATCGTAAAGAGAAAAATCATCATATATGATTTAGATCAAATTGATATAACAACGAATTAGCTTCTGTAACAAGTTTTTGTAAATTACTTATCAATTATAAAGTTTTATAAAATACGTAAAATAATTATTCTGATCACAGCAAGTTATGGGAGAAATTGTGACGTGGTATTACGTCATTGTTTCTGGCTTTACGTACCTGTACACATATTTATAATCTACCAGTTTGAACAAGCAGCGCCTCCTGCTTATTGAGTCACATAAAGATTAGAGTAAAAAGCGTTTTTCTTTTGTGATTAATTGCATCCCATTAAACATGAAAGAGTGGTGAATCATTATTTTCTCAAACAATATGAATTTTACTCAAATAACTTCTAGCTCTAAGTACATTATCTAACAAATTAATACATGTGTCACGAGGTTATTACACATATATGAAACACACACACACACATATCCATACGTACACGTGTGTGTGTATAAATATATATACATATATCTGTTCTATACCTTACGGCAATCTATTTTATCGAGGTTTGATCATGATTGAAGAAAAGAACGGGCAGTCGCAGTGAAAGTTGTTTAATCTACGTTATCTTATAAAAACAATTTCTTAGTCACGTTAATCAACTTACTTGGATATATATATAGTAAACGACACTAATTGATACTCGAACAACGATTCTTGGCGTTTCTCATTCATTAACATTAAACAGACTTCAATTCAGGTATGTATAGGTATTCTTCGTTGTTCTTTGTTAACTTATTGTATGAAGTAAAACAAATATATATATATATATATATAATATAATCAAAATATTATTTTACTGTATATTATATATGAGGGTCTCCAGGGAGGTCGTCGGGTGTGTGTGAATGATCCCTCCCGTTTTGAGCCTCAAATGTATTTTGATAATCACGAAAAATTAAATACAGTAATGCAAAAACTCTTGAAGGTGTTATATTCATAACCGCGTTCGTTTCTTAAATATGGCATTAACCTTTTTATGGACTATGTACTGAACTGCTGCTGACTCACGGCTTACTTAGGCTTACTTGTGTTATTGATCTATTTCAGAAACGAACCTCTCTGAAAATATTCTTGAGACGCTCCTAAACGTATATATATATAAATTTGCTTTAATTTTACTAATTCACTAGACATTACAAGATAAGTTTGGGTTAAGAGAAACATTAAATGCAGAATAAATGGCAGCTACATCAAGCTGAGCCTTTGAAATGTCTGTAGTGTGTTATAATTTACATCAAAGCTTTTAAGTTGGTAATTCTTATACGGTCTTAGAAATATCCTTTTTTCGTTATCTTATTTCAATAAAGATTTAGTGTAATTGAACATATATAAATGTGTAGAAAATGTTCATCTAATAGCCTGAGAGAATTTTATAGTGTCTTTCTTCCAATTTTTGCACACTAATCACCTATGTGTAACAAAATAAACCAAAGGTCCGTGTAATGAACGATGTTTCTTAAAAACAACATTAGAAAAGTCGTCCTCTGACTTGTTCTAAGGTATTACTATTAACAACATGATTATTAAAATGCCAAAGGTCAGATAAATAGACCGGTTGATTGACACTTTTAGATGTAGTCCTCATTTTACTCACAGGCTTGTTTCGTGTACTGAAAGGAATTAGAGAGCACCATTTCTGTGCACTATATTGAAACCTTTATTTTCTTAACCCCTGCAGTTAAGCGCGAGATTATTGCGTGCGTAATCTTATGTTTATTTTGTGAGATAAGAAGCGCACAAGGACTTAATACATGTAAGCTTTATAAATCTGTAAACAAATAGATATCGACTTTGATAACTGTAGTGGTCTGAATTTTGTATATGTCTATAGATTAGTTTACGAAAATATTCCTAAGGAAACAAAACAAACACACACACAAAAAAACAGATAAATCTTCTATTTTCTTTGCCCCCTTTCCCCTCCCTCGTGGCCCAACGGTAAACTTAAAGTCTTATATTGATAAAATTTGGTGCTCAATCCCTGTGGTGGACACAGCATGGATGATTCATTCTGCAGCTTTACGTTTATGTAAACGTAAGGACAAAAATCGCGAACCATGTCCCACATCTACTCTTGAAACAACAAACAGTAAAGCTCTGAGGTAAGAACAAACATTTCATCATTCTACATGTTGAAAAATATAGAGACGTGTACATCACGATCAAATATAACGTTATTTACATAAATGTAGCAGCGTGTTAATTTTTTAATTTCATACGTGATTAGAAGGGCCAGTAGCCTATCAAGAGGCACTTTATTACAGGATTCATACGATAGGTAAACTCGAGTGGCAGCACTTGACTCTAACATATTGTGCCCGGGCAGAACGTTTTGAAGAATTTATTTGAGCACTTACATACTCACAGACTCTGCCAAATTATCTCGAAAGGTTAATATTTTAGCGTATTAATAGTAAGCTGTCGTTATCATAATAATATAACCTCATCTGTGACTTTTCCGGTGTTATTGGACATTACATTGCGTCGTTTATTTATTAAACTCTACTTGTTTGTATGAAAGATCTATAACAAATTAACGTTCGATACGTTTCGATTTATAATTAGTTTTGAGTAAACGCTTATTTTATAAATGTTTTTAGCACAAGGTTTATGTCATAAATAACGGGGTTAAAAGTTAATTCTAAAAATACGCTAGAGATTTATGCACGTTCGACTTCCTGCCGCACTACATTTTGACTGAAATTTATCAGTGTTTATAAATAATCCTTTTTTTCTTTGCAATGAGAAGGCATTTGGGAAACTTGTGTTCACCAAATGAGCCTTTTCTAAATACTGTTTCAGAGATAAATGACTTTATTTCAAAAAGGATTTATGAAGACCATAATTTTAGAAAGTTGGATGGTGGATAAGTTGTAAGTTTACAGATTTACAATGTTAAAATCCGGAATTTCATTTCTCGTGATGGACAGAGTGCAAATATACCATTATGTAGCTTTATACTAAAAAGACAAACACAAACAACCTGAACGGCACGTGTGGTTGCCCATGGTTCAGACCAGAGACACCTAGGGCTAAGATATAGCCGTCTATTACTATGAACTACTGACAAGAGGGAGGGCAGCCAGCTAGTAGCGCTCACCGCAACAAGGGCTTTACCTGAATCTTTAAATCGACTAAAGGGATTGACTGACACTCTTATAGCATGCCCACAACTGAAAGTGTGGAACGTGTTCGGCAGCATTATATATCGGATTTTAGACCTTTAGATCCAGAAAATTGTAATATACAGAATTATTGTTTAGCTTGAGTCAAGCTAATATTTTGGTCACTTATGCACGATCTTAATGAAGAAATACTGAAACATTTAAAGTATATCCTTTTGTAATAGTTTAAGTGCAACATTTGCATTAGTTTACAAATAAAAGACGCTTTTTACGATTAGATGTTGTACGTCTTTCAGAAAGGTGGATGGAAAAGCGTATGATCTATTAAATGTTTTATAGAAACATGATATTTTTGATTTGAAAATTACACTAAACACAACAAACGAACCATCCCTGTTGCAATATACGGAACAGATGTTTGTAGATATAAGGCATTGAGAAAAAGGTGTGCTAAAGTAAAAATAATAATAGAAGAATGTAGAAACATAAAGAAACAAATAAATAGAACTACTGGATATAAGGCATTGAGAAAAAGGTGTGCTAAAGTAAAAAAAATAATAGAAGAATATAGAAACATAAAGAAACAAATAAATAGAACTACTGGATATAAGACATTGAGAAAAAGGTGTGCTAAAGTAAAAAAAAATAATAGAAGAATATAGAAACATAAAGAAACAAATAAATAGAACAACTGGATATAAGGCATTGAGAAAAAGGTGTGCTAAAGTAAAAAAAATAATAGAAGAATATAGAAACATAAAGAAACAAATAAATAGAACTACAACATACAGAAGCATGGGTGTATTATATTACTATTGCCCTCAGTTAGTGTATGCGTGTGTTTATCGAGATCAAGCTTTGGCAGGATCACCTTTATTCAAGGACTATAACTAACTGCAGCTGTTCTTTATTAACTAGTGTTCGCCATTATTGTTGTGTTCATTTATGTTTCCGAAGTTACTATCATATAGTTGTTTAAATCATAAAACAATGAAAGGAACCTTGGAATATCCTACAATGCTACCATTATAGCAGAAAAGTTTTCTATTGTTTTGTTGTTTGATAAGCATTCTTTAGCTAATGTACTCTATACAGATGGGATGTATCCTGCTCACCCAACTTTATAACTTTCCCTAGCTATTAGAATCTTAATTTTTGTACACATACATCGGAGACTGGTGTATGTGATATGGAACTCTTATAAGTTTAACCCTTCTGTGGCATGGACATATCTACATCATGAATTTTCTTTTGTGCAATTTTCTTAGGTACAAGTTCTAGACGAGTAGGTTATGTTCGAATTTAAACTCCACTGATTTTTTGCATGGTAACTTGTCTTACACGTTCGAAGAATTAGACCATAATTTGTCTAGTCTTAATTGACCAGCTTTCTGGATAACTCGTTGAGCTGGACTCAGTGGATTATCTGGCTTGTTGATTATGTGTGAAGAGATGGAAGCTAGAAACTCTGGTGGCGTGGAAATCTTGGAAGGCTTAGTGTAACTTGGAATTGTGATATAGTTCTTAGCCAGATTCGTCTGAATGTTTACATTGTGAACTGGTACGAATTGACGAAGTATTAGACAGGTTTCTTTTTGAAATAAAACGTAGATCTTTTCTGTTAAAGAATACCAAACTCTTATTGATCTTAGAATAAATATAAGTTATAATTAAGCCAAATAAAGCAGTGGTAAAGTTCTTTTAAATAGAATGATTATATTACAAAAGTAAATTCAATGTGATATAAGTAAATTTGTTGAATTATATCAAGATCTAATTATTACAAAAGATAAATTCAATGTGATATAAGTAAATTTGTTGAAGTATATCAAGATCTTATTGTTACAAAAGAAAATTCAATGTGATATAAGTAAATTTGTTGAAGTATATCAAGATCTAATTATTAAAAAAGTAAATTCAATGTGATATAAGTAAATTTGTTGAAGTATATCAAGATCTAATTATTAAAAAAGTAAATTCAATGTGATATAAGTAAATTTCTTGAAGTATATCAAGATCTAATTATTAAAAAAGTAAATTCAATGTGATATAAGTAAATTTCTTGAAGTATATCAAGATCTAATTATTAAAAAAG